TTGGGCCCCTGCACCTGCATGGGAGACCTGGAAGAAGCTCCTGGCTCCTTCTTTGGATCGGCTCAGCTCCAGCCATTATGGCCATTTGGGGAGTGAACCAGCAGGTAGAAGACATTTCTCTCTGTCTCTCCCTATCTGTCTTTCCCTCTCTGTCTGTTAACTCTCCCTCTCAAAAAAAAAAAAAAGAAAAAAAGAAAAAAAAATCTGAAAAAAAGAAAAAAAAAAAAAACCTCAAGCAAACCAGGCAGGGATGTGCCAGAGAATAGCACCCCTTCTCCACAAGGACAGGATAACACCTCCCCCTCCACGCGTAAATCAGAGGTGGTCAAACCCAAGGTCAAGAAATGTCTGAAGACCAAACGATGAGACCCAGAAGGTACCGAGCATTCACAGCCTCCCTGCTGCAGACAGCGTGACTCGCAGGGCTGCTGCTGGTCTGAGCACACAGCTCCAGCACCTCCTCCTGCCCTGTCCCAGGCCCTCACGCTCAGATTCCTGCGTCCCTGCCACGTGGCAACCACCAGTGCTGTGGGGCACTGGGAAGAGAGCCCTTGCCGTACGCACCCGTGCCCAGGCACAGTGAGTCCTAAGCACGGACGCTGGGACACGGAAGGCAAGGCAGCGCTCCTGACGCAGGTCCCCCAGAGGCCTCGCAGCGCTCCTGACGCAGGTCCCCCAGAGGCCTCCTACCTCCTTCGTTCCCAGCTTGCAGTCACTTTAAAGTGACATCAGACCCACCACTGGGGCCTTCAGAGTCCCTCTTCCAAAACAGGGTTCTGTGTCCTTTGCTGGTGTGTACGTCCCTGAGTCCACTGGCCTGGCCGCCCTCCTGATGCTGCTCTGGTTCAGGCGCTAGGGCAGACAGAAGGTGGGCCTAGGCTCTGCCAGCCCCATGGGGTCGGCCTCTGCACATCTGCTCTTCAGTTCCTTCTCACTAGTCTTCAAAAGCACATGAAGCATTCTTCATGGGTCAAGGAATAAAATTTTAGTCACAAGCAGTAATCGGCCAGCCCTGCTCTCGATGTCAAAGGTGGGAAGCTCAGGTCCAGGCACACTGGTACGAGGCCCTGAAAGAACACGCCAATTCTTTTCCCCACCTCCCGGAGGCAGGAGGAGTGAGGCCAGCCCCTACTACAAGGACAAGCTGTAACTGCTCTGGGAGCCTCTGGAAAGGGACCACTTGCCTGGCTGTGTCCGGCAGGCTCTCACTGGCCGATCAGGGGGTGCCTCCACCTCCACCTTCTTCCCAGGATCAAAGTCGTCAGCCTCCCCCTCTGTGTCACAGTGTTCTTTCTCTCGCTTCCGCTTCTTTTCCTCCTGGGGTACAGAGAAGCAGGAGTTGTCAGTGGCTCACCCCAGACTAGCAGCAGGGATTCGGAAGCGTCTGCCAGCCTTCTCCTTAGTTCCTGGGGGAAACAGGAAGGGGGAACGCCCTCTTCTAAACGCCCTTCTTCCTTCACAAAGATCCCCCGCAGGGGCAGCCTAGGACGATGCCCGGGGGACAGAGCTGACGAACGATCTAGGAGGGCTGCGCAGGCACCTGGTGTGGGTTCCCAGGGCAGGGCCCCTCGGCCTGCTGGCGCCCTTACCTTTCGCTTCCTTCTTTCTTCGTCATCAAGTCGCTTCTCCTTCTCTGACTTCTTCTTCTTTTTCTTCTTCTTCTCTTTGTGTCTCTCTCGCTCATGGTCTGACCTATCGTCGTAGTAACTGGAGTCGTGGCCGGATCCCGAGAGTTCGGTCACTTCACTCCCCCCAACCTTAAGGACCAGCTTCAACGGCTTCTCCAGGGGCTTGTCCTGCATAATCTGGACAGACACGGACAAGGGCCTCACCGTGTGCTCTGCCACCAGCACTACCCCTGGGTGGGAACCGTCAGTCCAACATGCGGGGCCGAGTAGAGCTTTGCCACACCACGGACAGCCTAGTGGCCAGACAAGACAGGCAGGCAAAATCGGCCATGGCCGGGTGCTCCCCCCTAGCCATCTGCGCCCACTCCCTCTGCAGTGAGCTTCATGTCCCTTTCGGGTCACTTCAGGCTCACTGGGGTACCCGGTCTCTCACAGCAGCCCACCACTGCAGAAGCAGCAGCCCGGGCCTCAGGAGCCCCCGTCTGCTGCAGCCCCGCACGCACTGACCGGCAGAGCTGCAGGACCACAGGGAGGGAGGGAGGGAGGGAAGGAGGGGGGGAGGCAGTGCTGGGCGCTGGACTGCTGTTCCCAGGACAGGAGGCAGGAGGGGTGGGCAGCAGCCAGGAATCCCCACCACAACATGGGCCCAGCCCACCGAGGGCCCAGGATGCCCCTCCCACTCCCCAGACCCTGTCCACCTTCCAGAGGCCGGGTATGCGGTCCCAGGCGCACGCCCACCGGGCTCAACCCCTGTGCCCAGGACCCGGCCCGCCACGCCAGGACCGCCTCAGACGCTGCGCCCACCACCCCTGGACTCCCTCGGCCCCAGGGTCCACGGCCACACCCACCATGCCAGGACCCCTCAGTCCAGGCGCCGGGACCCCGCCCACCTCAGCAGAACCCCCGCAGCCCGGGTGCCAGGACCCCGCCCACCCCTCAGAACCCCGCAGCCCGGCCCCGGGACCCGCCCACCCCTCAGAACCCCGCAGCCCGGCCCCCGGGACCCTCTCCGTCCCGTGCCCGAGACCCCGCCCACGTCCCCAGAGCCCCCTCGGGCCGTGGCCGGACCCAGCCCGCCGTCCCGGGGCCACCTCCGCCCGCGCCGGGGCCCGCGCTCAGAACGTCCCCCGCGTCACAAAGGCCGCCGCCGCCTCACCCTCGTACGAAGAGCGCCACTCGGTCTTGTGCTTCTTGTGCTTCTTGCCCATGGCGGCGCCAGCGCCAGCGCCCGGGCGCGAGCGGGCAGCCGGGACCGCGCGCCGCTCAGAGCCCGCGCGCCGCTCCGGAACCAGCCCTGCCGGCGCCGCGCCGGAAGTCACCCCGCCCTCGGACTCGGCGACCGCGACGCCGAGCACTTCCGGGTCAGGGGGCGGGGCGCCGCGCGCGGCAGATTCGAAGCGCGGGCGGGGCCGACGGGCTGAGGCGGCGGCGGCGGCCACGCTCCGGCCGGGGTCCCTCTGCTCCCGGTGGCGCCATGGACGAGGCCGTGGGCGACCTGAAGCAGGCGTTGCCCTGCGTGGCCGAAGCGCCCACGGTCCACGTGGAGGTGCACCAGCGCGGCGGCAGGTGAGACGCCGGCCCGGGCAGGCCCGCCCGCCGCTGAGGGCCCCACCCCGGGGGACCGAGGAGACCCCGTGCCCGGAGCGCCGGGAGGAGAGGCCGCGGTTCCTCGGGCCCCGCGGTGGGCTTGGCAGGTTGCAGCTGGCCGCGTGGGGCGGGACAGGCCGCGGTTCCGTGGGCACAGGCACGCGGCGCGCTGAGGGCGTGGGCACGGGCGCCGGGGGATGTCGGAGCCGGCTCGGGGCGGCACAGGCGGGATCCGCGCGGTGCGGGCTGGCCCGAGTCGGTGGCCGAGCCGGCCGGCGGCCAGCGCTCTCGGGGTCCGGGACCCAGCGGCGCGGCGGGCAGGGGGCTCCGGGGTCCGGAAGCCCAGCGCGCGGCGGGCAGGGGGCTCCGGGGTCCGGGACCCAGCGCGCGGCGGGCAGGGGGCTCCGGGGTCCGGGACCCAGCGCGCGGCGGGCAGGGGGCTCCGGGGTCCGGGACCCAGCGCGCGGCGGGCAGGGGGCTCCGGGTTCCGGGACCCAGCGGCGCGGCGGGCAGGCGGCTCCGGGGTCCGGGACCCAGCGGCGCGGCGGGCAGGGGGCTCCGGGGTCCGGAAGCCCAGCGCGCGGCGGGCAGGGGGCTCCGGGGTCCGGGACCCAGCGCGCGGCGGGCAGGCGGCTCCGGGGTCCGGGAAGGGTGCAGCCCAGCGCGCGGCGGGCAGGGGGCTCCGGGGTCCGGGACCCAGCGCGCGGCGGGCAGGGGGCTCCGGGGTCCGGGAAGGGTGCAGCCCAGCGCGCGGCGGGCAGGGGGCTCCGGGGTCCGGGACCCAGCGCGCGGCGGGCAGGGGGCTCCGGGGTCCGGGAAGGGTGCAGCCCAGCGGCGCGGCGGGCAGGCGGCTCCGGGGTCCGGGACCCAGCGCGCGGCGGGCAGGGGGCTCCGGGGGCGGCCCAGCCCGCCCGCGCCGGCGTGCGCCCCCAGGTCTTGGGGAGGCGGGACTGGTGGCGTCGCGACTCGGGTCTGCCCTGTGCTTGCTGCTTTCCCAGCACCGCGAAGAGGGAAGACGTGAAGCTGGCTGTCAGAAAGCTGCTGGACAGACACAACATTGTGTTCGGCGACTACAAGTGGACTGAGTTCGATGACCCTTTTCTGAGCAGGAACGTGCGGTCTGTGGCGCTCGTTGACACCGAGCTGAAGGTGAAAGCCCCGCAGGTAACTCCTGGTTCCGGGCCAGAGAGGGACCCCCGCTCTCGCCAGGGCCGTGGGGACCGGCTGGCGCCTGCTGGGGGCAGCTACTCTCGTGGCTGTAAGGGCCCAGGGGCTGCGTGGGAAGTGGCCCTGGGGTCAGGATGCGCTCAGGAGAGCGGGACAAGTTAGAAACCAAGGGTCAGTGCTGTGGACGAAGGGCTGTCCGCGCTCCGTGGGCGTCGGCACCGTGGCCCGGGAGGGGCCGTGGGGGCTACGCATGAGACCGCTGGTGAGCGGGGGGCTGCTTCACCAGCTGTCCTCGGGGTTCATTTGTGGGGTTGGGGGGTTCTGTTAGAGTGCCTGTGCTGGGGCGATCCTGACACCACTGTGAGAGCAGCCCCAGAAGTGTGCACAGGGAGGACACGTCCGCTAGGGCTGTGCACGCGTGTCTGGTGAGGCAGGGCCTGAGCCTTGGCGTGTAAGGCGGGCCTCCTCACTGCTCCGTCAGCAGGGGGGGAGGGGAAGAGCTCTCCAGCACGCTGTGCGTGTGCTTGGCCTGTCCTGACGCGGGCAACGCTCGCTCCTTGCCTGCACGTTCACCGGTGGGAATTGTCCTAACAGAATTTGACAGTGCTGTGTGAACAGGTGTGTGTTCTGTGCTGCCAGTGACAGCCAGCACCTCGAGGTGTTTCAGTTGCCACCAGTCAGGTACTGGTTTAACGCTTTTGATGCATTTTCACCAAATACGATGTAGCCATTGAAAAGCATGAAATGGATTTTTATCTACTGATGTCAGATGTCTCCGAGCTATAGGAAGTGGGAGAAGTTACAGATTAGGGAAGCGCGCTGGCAGAACTGAGTGCTGGTCAGATGGTGTCAGCACGGTACATCTAGGTCTCTGAGCTTGTAGTTAGGGCTGTCTTCATTCTGTGTTTGTTTTGTTTTGTTGTTGTTTTCAGATTCATCCATTTATTTGAAAGGCAGAGTTACAGAGAGGCAGAGAGAGAGAGAGGTCCTGCATCCTCTGGTTTACTCCCTAGATGGCCACAATGGCTGGAGCTGTGCCGATCCAAAACCAGGAGCCAGGAGCTTCTTTTGGGTCTCCCACAAGGTCCAGGGGCCCAAGCACTTGGGCCATCTTCCACTCTTTTCCTAGGCCATAGCAGAGAGCCGGATTAGAAGCGGAGCAGCGGGACTCGAACCGGCGCCCATATGGATGCCAGCACTGCAAGCGGCAGCTTTACCCACTACACCACAGCCTCACTCTGTGTTGTTCGCATTTTTCTCAACAGTGACGTGTTACACTGTGAATATGAAGAAACAGTTGTGGTTTTTTAGACGTATGTAAGGGAGCACAGGAAAGGAGTGAATAAACACTTTTAAAAGCTAAACTTAGGGGCCGGCGCCGTGGCGCAGTGGGTTGATCCTCTGCCTGCGGAGACCAGAAGAGGCACCTGGCTCCTGGCTTCTATCGGCACAGCTCCGGCTGTTGTGGCTACTGGGGGGTGAACTGGCGGAGGGAGGACCTTTCTCTCTGTCTCTCCTTCTCACTGTCTAACTCTGCCTCTCAAATAAAAAAAAGAAAAGAAAAAGAAAGCTACACCTACACGTGTAAATAACCTCATCTCATCTGAGATCAAGTATGTAACTACTACTCAGTTCACCTCTGCTTTTTGGACTTTAGTGCAACTTTGTGCTGCTGGAATTCGAAAGGGAGCTGTTTTAAATGTGTGTGGATTGTGTGGTGTCTCCCTCTCTTCACAGCCCATTGATTTGAGTGCATGCACTATTGCACTTCACATCTTCCAGCTGAATGAAGATGGCCCCAGCAGTGAAAATTTGGAAGAAGAGACAGAAAACATAATTGCAGCCAATCACTGGGTTCTGCCTGCAGGTACTGGTGCCGGCCGGTGTGGGGCCGGCTGGGGACCGCACGTGTCCTGGGCTCACTAAGTCGGCCGGTGTGGGGCCGGCCGGGGACCGCACGTGTCCTGGGCTCACTAAGTCGGCCGGTGTGGGGCCGGCCGGGGACCGCACGTGTCCTGGGCTCACTAAGTCGGCCGGTGTGGGGCCGGCCGGGGACCGCACGTGTCCTGGGCTCACTAAGTCGGCCGGTGTGGGGCCGGCCGGGGACCACATGTGTCCTGGGCTCACTAAGTCAGTCCCGGGCTTTTTGTTTTCTAGGATTTTAGGAGATGTTTTATTTTTCATGAAACGAAAGGGTTTCACAAAAGAGGAAAGTAGGGGTTTCGGTGTAAGGCTGCATTGTTCTTTGGCCAGGCACCTCACAGGCGGTGCTGCCGAAGCTCTTCTCGTGCCCAGCTGTGCCCCCCCCCCTCCTGTCTGTGGATTTTGCCAGTGTCCAGCTGTGGGAGTTCATTTGATCGTCAGGTTCTGTGTCCCGTGTCCCAGTAGACGTGGCCTGCCACATGGGCAGGGTGGTGGTATCTGTGCTGGTGTTCAGACGTGGCTCCCCAGAAGATGACAAGATGTGGAAGTCTGTCTTTTACTCATTTAATTTATTTGCCAGAAGTCAGCTGTGACTGGCACGTATTTTGCACCCTTAATTTCAAGACAAACTAACATTTGAAGAAAAAGTTGAGAAGCACACGCGTCCCTGTGATGAGACTCAGCCCACGGCACGCAGAGCAGCGTGGGGGCAGCAGCCCAGAGAGGCGCCAGGAGCGGCGAAGTCTGCTCTCCTCAAGTTCGTCTTGGTTTTCTTCTCTCGCAGCTGAATTCCACGGACTCTGGGACAGCCTGGTATACGATGCGGAAGTGAAGTCACACGTGAGTCGTGGTTTTCCCCAAGCACCCTCTTACTTGGAGAAGGTCGCTCCTGTGGCGCCACTACACCTCTGAGCGCCGTGGCCCGGAGGCTCTCAGGGATCCCTGACATCTGTCCTGTGTGCCGGCCCAGTGTGGAGCTCCCTGAGAGGGAAGAGGGAGGAGAATAGCTTGAGGAATCCCCCTCTTCCGGGGAGGTCTGGGCTTCGGGGCAGCCCTGCAGGAGCAGGAGAGAAGCAGGGCCAGGCCAGGAGCAGCGGGCCCACGCCTCGTTCTCTTCACGCTCTGGGGCGTGGTGGCAGACGGCACCTCGGCCATCCCAGCGGCTGCACAGAGCCCTGCTGTTGTCTGAGACTGTACCGTGAGACTGCCCATAGTTCTCCCACATGGGGAGGGATCTCACCTGTTAGCTCATAAATCCCCTCGTGGTATCATTTAACGTTGACGTTTTGAATAGAAGTGATCGTATTGTTCTTTTTTTTTTTTTTTTTTTTTTTGACAGGCAGAGTGGACAGTGAGAGAGAGTGACAGAGAGAAAGGTCTTCCTTTGCCGTTGGT